GACGTTAAACTTTTTAAGGATGATCTATGTATAGCCTAGGTAAGTGTCGTTTTAAATGATTATTGTTGTTCAAGACGAGTTTCGAAGAAATGTCCAATACTGCATCTACGGGCAATTATGCCCTAAACTTGATAATTTTTTTCGTCTAAATTGTTTGAGGCATCGCATTTAAATTAACACCACAGACAGTACATATCATTACCATCTGCAGAATACAAAATAATGTATTTATTGTTTTTTTTCACGTTGAGGAATAAATTAACTCATGGGGTAAGATTTCTAAAATTGTTCAAGTTCAGCACGTCATAAAAAAAAGAAAACATTTTTATTTTATTTATTTATTATTATTTTTTTTTTTTTCATCCCACGTTCCTGGGACGTGTTTCTTTTAGCCTGTACACATTTTGGTAGGAGAAACTTGTTTCGTAGTTCTGGGCCTCTGAATATGCAAGAATACAACACTTCCGGCGGGTTCTTGATAGGTTTTTTTTTCTCTCCAGCTTTTTATTTTGCATTTATTGTTATGTTTATTTATTGATTATTTTTTACCAATGGCACAGTTATTTAGGTCGAAAAGACATAGCTTTGAACTTCCGAACCTCCGAGCATATGACGAGAAGTGCCTTCTGACAACGATTTTCTAACAGTGACCATCTACGCGATATTTTATGCAGTGAAGAGCGACATAGCTATACTCTATTTCACCTTATGATGTACCGCAGGAAAGGCTACAAGCGCGTGCTCCCTGCTCTGGGGCCACGGTGTAAGATAATACTCTTCAGGTGAGGACAGCGCGCTCCTCGCGCAGTGCAGATAAAGTTCGCTTTTCACTCTCTCTTTCTCTCCCTCACTATGGTTTCAAGCGGCGCCGGCAGATGACTCGTCGACAGGTGGGCACGGCAAAGGCGGCTCGTGCCACCTCATGCTCCTCACGCGCAGAGCTCCAGCGAGGTTGTCGCTCGTGCAGAAAGACCACGGTGCATCGGGGTGTCATGGCAACGAGATTTTTTTTTTTCGCTCTCACACAGTTTTGCCGTTTGGCCGCCGGCGACACTGTCAGCCGCGGGCACGGTGGCCGCGGAATAATGCAGCCTTCCGGATGCCTGTCGAACGAACACTATCTGATACCTCGCGCCGCGCGTTCAGCCCCGCCGTACCGCCGTGTCCTCACAGTGTATCTTACACCGTGTCTGGGGCACATCTTGGTGACACAAGCTCTCGTGCATTAAAGGCAGCTGCCAACACTATGAGCTCGCGCTTCTAGCCTTCGCTGCGGTACAACATAACGTGAAACGGAGTATATATATACATGTGCAAAAATAATTTCAGGGGGGGGGGGGGGAGAAACTGGAGCCCCCCCCCCCCCCCCCCCCCCTTTTTCCTCTTCTGACGCCACTGGTATGGTAGAACGCTCCTCGACCTCAAGTTGTGACAGCTTCTGTACTTTTTGCTCGGCGTTTCTTCCGTCCCGGAAAATAAATCTCCAAAGACAACTTCCATAAACCCCTGCATGTAACACGGCGCGCGTTGCACTCTGGGAACTTGTTGGCCAGAGAGGAGAGGGGCATGGTTTCGGTTTCGATCGACACGTGAACATTTCCGACATATGGACACATTTTCGACACATGGACGTTTCCCGGCGCCAGTCTTCGTTTTGTATCGCTCGAGAATGAGTGTATTGTACATTCGTGAAAGTTCACACAATTGAAAACGCAAGCAGCACAATCGGTCACGGCGCGATAGCATGAAATGAAGCTGCTCAATCGAAACCGAAACTGAGAGGCCAACTAGTTCCCAGAGTGCACTGTGTGGCATTTCGCCGCGATGGGGCGCTTCGATTTTGGAAGAAGTCACAAAATAAAAAAATGTCAAGGTGCAGGCGAGCTGGTGTATGTTGATCATGATGCAAAATCCCGAGACTGGGAATGCAATTCGCAAGAAATAGAGTAAGAAGAAAGAAAAAAAAAGGGGACAGGACAACGTCTCAAACTCTGCAGAGTTAAGTTTGACACGTTGTCCTGTCCCCTTTTTTCTGTCTTCTTACACTTTTTCTTTCAAATTTCATTCCCAGAGCTGAGTTTGAGGCATTGTCCTGTCCCCTTTTTTGTCTTCTTACACTTTTTCTTTCAAATTTCATTCCCAGTCTCAGGATTTTGCATCATGTACAAACTAAACTCACTATATGCCAGCGTCACTCGGGTGGCGCCCGATCGGATTACTGCCAGCGTGCAAGGGGTTAGGGAGGCAGTGTGCCAGATCGCTTCAAAGTTTTTCTGAGCCTCAACCACCTGCCTGCCCCTGGACGTTTCGAACTGTATGAATATTGTTAAACAGTGCCTGCCCCCCCCCCCCCCGCCCCCCCCCCCCCCCCCCCCCCCCCGGGCTAGCAGTCACAATTATTGATCTATGATCAAACATCACTCTGCACTGGCAAATATTCCAGCATATCCGGGACACTGGTCGTCTCATTTGATTGCCTGACCAACTTCGCGCAGTCTAAATATCGCACCCAAACTTTTCGAAACCTGATTTTGTGAAAACCAGTGAGGGGTGAAAACGTTATTTTAAACTGAAACCGTGGAGGAACATGAAAACCGGACTTGGAACTTCACGCACTTGGACTTGAAAGAAATTCGAAACCTTCGAAGTTATTTTCGAATTTAGCCCTAAAAGAGAATCGAAACCTTCGAACTTTATGTAGAACAAAATTCAAAATCTTAGAATTTATCGAACTTTGTTGTCTGAAAATATTCGAGACGTTCGAATTTCAGATACATAGATATTAGAAATCTTCGAATATTTCGAACTTCATATTAAAAAAATAATAAAAATATTTGCATCTTTCGAACTTTAGATTCCAAAAAATTCAAAACATTTGAACTTTAGATTCCGAGAAATTCAAAACATTTGAATCTCTCAAATTTCAAGTTAGGAAAGTTAAAAATCTTCGAAGTTCTCAAACGTCAAGTAAAAAAATATTCGAAATAATCGAACCCGAACTTTTAAAAACCATTAAAGCTTCAAACTTTTCAAACTCAAAACTCCACAGCATTTGAAAGTTGCGAACTTTTAGCTTCCGGACCTCGGTACAATCGAAATTATCGAAATCTTTCGAATTCGAACTGAACTGAGGTTAGAAAATATCGAAACCTTTCGAATTCCAACCTAGGGTGGTTTGCGGCATCCCTAATATGTGGTATGCATTACTAACACAAAGATGCATTGGGAAAGCTTGAGCTTTCTGCATCGGTGGCATTAGTTATTTAAAGCCCGAGGGTGAAATCTATTTGGCACCAATATGCGAAAATTCAATTTAAGAAAACTATCATCAAACAAGAAAACAAGTCCATCTTACAAATAAATAGCGCGGTCAAGTACAAACTGACGGAACAAGTGCTATATCATGTCCTATGATAAATTCCCCACAGGAACGTCGCAATGAATGCGACCAGAGACACAAGCAAACATATATACCTTGCCAAAGCCCAGGTTATATATATGAAATACCTTTCACCTGTGGCACAGTATATATGTTGGTCAGTCCATATTGTAATAACTCTATGGGTCAGTGTGGCCGCTCCGTGAACACTAGGTTACGTGAACATGCTTTGTCACTAAAATCAACACCATCAAGTCATTTTGCGGTGCACGTAAGAGACTGTCACTGCTAACCGATACAGAAACAAACGTCCTTCAAAGTTTCTTTAAGAAATCAAGAGAAATATACTAGGCAATAGCCATCAAAGAAAAGGAAAACTCGTGTATCAGTGCACCATCAGTGAGTGACAAAGAACTTTTTACTTAGCTTTCCTGCTGAAGTTGTTTCATTGGTTTACTGTCAGCAACTTCCTCTTTCTTTCTGCTATTTCTCATTTTTTAATGTAACGTCCTCCTCTTCCCTTTTTTATGTTATTTCCCATTCTTTTTGTTTCCTTTATTGAGGTAGAAAAAAAAGGGAGTCAGAGAAATTAGCCTGGAGATACTCTCCTGACTGGCTACTCTGGTAAGGATGGGGTAGGGGTATGACAGATATAAAAGAAAAAAAAAAAAAAAGAGTAAAAACAATGAGAAAGAATCACACTTGCAGATTAAACATACACATAAAATAGATGTAAGATAGAGTTCAGTGCAACATGCTAGTCTCTTGTTGGGGTCTGTTACTGTAAGGAAGCGTAGACGGGTGTTCATAGTTGTCAAGGCATAGGCTTCATAATCCCAGGGGCCAAGGAGAAGCTGAATCATAAGAACTGTTCCTGGTGGCTGCTTAATGTCCTTTAATAATTTCTGCCGGTGCTCTTCATACTTTGGATATATGGTATAATTAGAATGTGTGTAATATCGTCAATGATTTCACATTCTGAGCAGTTGGGTGTTTCTAGCTTTCCTATAAGATAAAGGTAATAGTTGGTGTAAGATACTTTTAGCCATATTCGATAGAGTACGGCTTCACATTGTCCCTTCCGACCACGGGGGGCTCAAAACATCAAATATGGATCGATATGTTTTAAGGATGAGCTGTCGTTGATGACCTTCTTTCAAAAGTGCTCTGCTTCAGATTTCCCTAAACTTCATGATCTCGTACGAATATCGGATTTTGGGAATGGAGCCAGCACTTGTTGAAGAGATATGTGAGCATGTGTAGCCATCGAATCAGACATCTCATTGCCTGTTAGACCACAGTGACTAGGTACCCACTGAAATGATATGGAATGTCCTATTGAGGCAGTGTCAAGGTGAGCTTTGTGTATTTCTAAAATTAGCAGCACCTTCCCATCGAGGCAACTTCATTTTGGAAATTTTTCATGACGAAAAGAGAGACGAGAGAGAAAGGCTTCCTCTTTCTAGTCTTCTATGCGAATATTAAAATGACAGCTGTGAGTTAGCGCTTGTTCCGTCAGTTTGTACTTGACCTTCACGCTATTTATTTCTAAGATGCGTATCGAACTAGCCCACTTTTATATTTTAAAACAAGTCCAGCTGAGAAGACACCAAACACACAGTTCAAGCACCTTCAAAATTTTATTTTCAAAATGTTTTATATATAATAGGTTGCTCAATTTGAGCAACAATTGTGTAACCTAGTGTTCAAAAATAAAATATGCAAGAAAATGAAGCTAACGTGGAAACAATGTAGTGGCGTCCGAACGCCGGGCCACAAAAACGCATCAGGAACAAGCATCAACACCTCATAAAATGGCCAATGGCTCCTTGACATTTGGTCCAAACATGCACACGAAAGAAAACTAGAAAGTCTGGATAAAAGCTCAGTGAAATCTGAACAGCCAGGAAAAGACTATCCAACATGGAGTTGAAGCAAAAAAGGTGTTGCAAGCATTAGGAAACATGATAATTTCATCAAGAGCACATGGAGGGCGTGATTGCCCAGATTGCCACACAGGAGTAAAGTAGTAGCTCAGGCAGACATCAAGGTAAAACCAAGCATAAATTAAGGAGGTAACATATAAATGTGGTAGTATTTCCAGAAAGTTTTGCTTGGGAGTTTTCTTTAGCAGACATGTTTGCAAAAGAACAACCAAAATAAAGAGAAAAAAACAACAACAAAAACTGACATGTGGGAAAATTAGGAGGCACATCGGTGTGTATGTGGGACCAGCCATCTAGGAAGGGCTCCGGCCGGTTCCCCTGCCTGCCTATGCACCACAACACGAAAAAGAAAAAGATGTCTTTTCGCACATTAAGAAGGTAAAAATCTGCGACGGAGTATAGCTCATAAGTGCTACGAGCTCATGAGCCCTTGAAGGTCTCGTTCATAGAGGGCAATGACAAACATGGTGCTGATGCCTAGAGAGATGCCCAGTAGCTGTATTCCAAGTTGATGCACCGCTCTGGAGTTGCTGTGGCTCGGGTTCACAGACAGTTCGGGAAGCTACATGGAAAAAAAAGAAAGAAATCGAGTGAGCGCCGACAAAAAAATTTTACACTATAGTCTGTTCCATGGCAACTGCATATCTATGAGTTAAAAGACTAGAACCTACACGTTGCATTTTAACTCTAGTCATGACCAGACCTTTTTAGAAGTTTGAACTGTATACACTAAAGCATATGGTGGATTGTTCACAATCATACTGCCAACAGGAGTACAGTGAGACGTCTCCAGTTCAAATTCCAATCGTCCAATAAGTGCATGCTGTTTGAGTAATTATTAAAAATCGGTGGAAAAATAAATAAAAGTCGGCTGTGCTTAGTAGTCTGAACAGATCCAACAATAAAAATGATTAAAATGTAAAAGAATAGAAGAACTGAAAGAAAAAAGTCTATACAATCAAATATGGGTTTTGTAACACCATTAAATATAGCAAGCTGCTACATGGGCATTTTTGCTTTTTCTAACTGCAACTCAATTAATCATTACTATTCAAAATTTTTTTTATTTATTTATCAATACTGCCAGTCCATTGGGACCCGAGCAGGAGTGAATGATTCAAGTACAATGCCCATTTTTCACTGAAAAAATACAATAATTTCTGTACACATCCTCTTTTTACACAATATACTTAGCTGCACACACCCAGAATTTTTGTTTTTCAAAATTTGATAAAGCATGGTTGGTTTTTACCTTTACAGATATTTAAAGGTTGGTACCTAAACAATACAAGGGTCACTTGATAAGTATGGTAAAAAAGCAAGATAAACACTATTTTTGCCAAATTTATTTAATTTCTCAACATAGTCTCCACTGAGGGCTACACACTTGGTCCAGCAAGTTTCAACAATTTTCCGTCCTAAAAAAAAGGCTTTCTCAAAGCCTGCAAAGTATGCATTAATGGCAATAATGCCTTCATTAAAAAAAAAAAAAAGAAGAAAAGTTGCAAGCGTTTAAGTTTAGAGATTAGGGGGATGAGTAATCTGTTCGAAGCCAAATTCGTGCAGTTTTGCCATTGCGAAGGTCGATTTGTGGGCTGGTCGACCAACATAATTCCTTGGGTATCCCAAAAAACAGTGGCCATCACTTTTCCAGCTGACAGGACTGTCTTTGCCTTCTTCGGTGCACTCTCCCCAGTCGTTGTCCACTGCTTTGACTGCTGCCTCGACTCATTTGTCGAGTGGTGGATCCAAGTTTCATCCACAGTAACAAATCGACGCCAAAAGTTCTCCAGATTGCGATTCAATGTCGCTAAACACTGCATTAGGCATCCTCTCGACCTTGTTTTTAGTCGACGGTGAGCGGCTTCGGCACCCATCGTGCAGACACCTTTTTCATGTGCAATGTTCTGCGTAGGATATTGTGAACACGTTCAGTTGGGATGCCTACGGTTTCAGCGACCTCGCACACTTTCACTAGACTGTCTTCCAAAATGATGTTGTGAATTTTTTCAACGATTTCCTTTGTGGTGACTTCAACTGGGTGTCCAGAGCATGCTTCATCTTCGGTAGATGTTTGGCCACATTGAGAGCCGTTGATCCAAAAATAGACCGTCTTCAACACTGGTGCAGAACCCTCCTGAACTTCATCCAACTCGGCTTTCATCTGTGCAGGGGTCCACCGCGGAGAACTAGTTTTTCTTGTTTTTCCATTTTCACGGTAGTTGATAAAGTGCTGCTTCAAACATTTCTCGAGCGTAAACCACGTGTCGCTTGTGGTTGAAATTAGGCCCGAGCTAGTTTGAAAAACCATAGTTGCCAGCCGTAATATCATCACATGAACTGTAGCACCATCTCGGAAGAGTTGACCAAACTTATCAAACGACCCTCGTAGATAAACAGCAAAATGACTATACAGTATCAAAACAACTTAGCACTGAAAAAGATTATCTAGAAAATTTGCAAAAGCTGAAAATGAATCAATGTCTACAATGTCACTGGGCAGCTTGTTCCATAGATATGCACAAAAAATCATTGTTTAAAAATATTTATTAGAGCAGCAACAGGAGTCACCATTTTTTAACGGTGTAGCCGTTCAGAGTAGAAGGCTCTTGGTTTTAAGTATTTACAGCTATCAATTTTTAAGACTTTATTATAAATCCGAAAGTGCACGCTGGCATGACCTATTGATTAGTGGTTGTAAATTTTCTGAAGTTTTAAATCCCGTGACCGACATTGATCGCCTGAAATCTGAAAGAAACCACCCATGTTGCCAGTGATTAAACATCCTCAAGCTCTTTAACGAGGTTTACCTGCCAGGGACCCCCAAGCTTCGGACGCATATTCTAGGATAGGTCTAATAATACTTTATATGCTAGAAGCTTTTCTCCTAAGATACTGCGATTTGTTCATTGGCGGCTTTCTGATGTACTCCACATGGCGGTTCCATTTTAAATGACTTGAAATGATTACACCAAGACATTTATAGCTGTTAGCTTTTTCTAGTCCGTCTCCATCAGCCTTGAAAATTAAAATTTTAAATATTTTTCTTTTTTGAAAATTGCACATACTTAGTTTTGTTGATGTTGTTCAGCATGTTATATTCACAAAACCAAAATGCCATGCCAGATAATACATTGTTTAGCTTTATCTGGTTCTGAACTGATAAAACAGGGGGTATATATAATGTAATCATCAGCGAACATTCATATTTTCACAAGGCCGTTAGCAACAAGTCCAAACAAACTGTTGACGTACACCAAGAAGAGTAGAGAGAGAGAGAGAGAGAGAGAGAGGTTAACCTAGGTTGGAGTCCTGGTTGGCTACTCTGTTTTAGGGAGGGGGTAGCGGGGAGTTGAAAGAGGAAGGAAAGGATAGGAGGACATAGAACAATAAACATGTCAAAAAAAAAAAAAAGAAATAGTGACACGAGAGCACAATTTATAGATCACATTACAAATAAAGTATGTGTGCTCTTTAGAGGCAGAAGCTCAGCCGCGTTTCCTTTAGGAAATGCAGAAAAGCTTTTGTGGCCCTTGCTGTATTCTGAGGGCTGTCCCAGGGGGCTCAAAACACAACCTCGTGGTACCCCGGCGTATGTATGCATCAAGCATCCCTGAATGGGTACCATTGACATCCACAAATTCTTGGCGATTTGTAAGATATGTCTAAACCATCTGATTAGACATAAAGGAACACACCAAAGTATATTAATACTTTCACTAGATCATGATAGGGTACTCTGTCGAAGGCCTCCGACAGGTCAATGAACACTGCATCCACCTGCTTACAATCAGTGGAATCTCATTGATACGATTCGGCATAATACTTTTTTCGGTATAATACATAATTTTCTTCATTCCCGGCCAACATCCCATAGAAGCAATGTATTTTGATAGGGACAATACAATCATATTTTTGCTTGAAATCGGATAATATGACTCTGAAAGCAAGTTCTCCAGGGCATTTAAAAGATTATACGTTTCCAGTATACATACCGGAATCACAAGCTCAAATCACAATTTCACGAGCCACGAACAACCTGTTGCGCGGCCACAGCAGGAGAGCCACAGTTAACGCTGGGGTGTTCCAACATGGCCGCCCGGTCGAGTGTTGCCGTTCACCATCAAGCGGAAAGTAGCGCACTCTAGTTTCACGTGGTTAGGTATGCGTTGCATCCAGTAGGTAGCACTGGCAGTGATGGCTGCCTCTTGTGCAATTTTTGCGTCTCCGCGCATTTTCTTTCGTTTTCCGAGTGCGCTGTCTCGCTTTGTCGGTTTGTTCTCGGTGCTCCCTATCCACGGCTCTCGTGTTATCGTTAACCACCGTGACAATGTCAAGGAAACGCAAGCAGCTGTCTCTAAAAGAAAAAAAAAATAGACATTATCTCCAAGGTCAAAGAAGACCCGAAGAAGCGCGTAGACCTGGCACACAAATTAGGCTTGCGGTTTCTACTCTTAATGCTATCGTCGGAAAGCTGGAAGAAATTCGCAGCAACGTGGAAGTCTTCGGTGCGGGCGTCAAGGAAACGAGAGGTGCGGAGCATGCACAGATGGAAGAAATCCTCGTGGCTTGGTATAAAGAAGTATGAGTAGCAGGTGTGAACATCGACGGTAAAGTTCTCCGCGAGAAGGCCGATGAAATAGTGAGCTGGCCAACCTAACTGCAAATCTTTTTTTTTTTTTTTTTTTTTTCAAGAGAACTTTTTTGTTGATTTTGAAAAGAAGAAAACTCAAACCAAAGTGACCGACTAGTTCAGGGCTGTGGACTAAAAACAGGTTTTTCACCGGGTATGCATATTTTATTACATTTTCGAGCTCATTTGGATAATATGATTTTCGGGTAATACGTTTTATTTTTCAGTTCCCGTGAAAATCGTATCAACGAGATTCCACTTTAGCTGGTTATTTCATGATAGAATTCAATTAACCGAGTAACAGAAGACAAGCCTCTATGGAAACCACGTTAGTTGGGGTCTAGCACACCATTTTCCTCTAGGAAGAAACGAGTTGTCTGGTTACAATGTGATCGTGTAATTCACAAGATGTGCAGATATGGGAAATGGGGTGATAGCTTTTAACTGATGGTGAATCCGCTTGCAGATTTTGAGCGCTCCAAAACGCCCCTTTTGGAGTGAGCATCTTCCGCTGGTATATCCAGCTGAGGTTGGTCATCTTCCACTCGTAGATTTGTGGCAGTGGCTGCCCCGTGGAGTGTTTCCAACCCCCCCGAACTGTATCCGTGGGATTCCAGAGAGATTGGTGAAAGTTGACAGAAACGTGCCGAGCGTGCTACGTCATTTCCTGTAACTTGGCGGTGCGCATGCACGGCAAGGAGGCTATAGGCGAGGTCGCCGGACCGGCCGGGCCGTCAAGTTGGATCTGTTCGAATGCGTCGGTTGTTTACACGAGATTGTGATGGCTCGGACGCTTCTACCTCGCATAGATGAGGAGCGCAAAGCCGGGACTGGAGAGTGGGAAATTGTAAGCGCTGACATCTGTGATCGTGAGAGGAAGAATGAGAAAAGAATGATAGAACATCCGAAGGAGGCAGATGCAACGTTAGGCCTGTTGATTTTGCTGCCACTGATTGTTTACCTTTCTACACTGCATGCCGCCATTGTTTTCTCATGCAATAAAGCAAGATCAAATAGGCCATTGACTGTGCAAGTAATGGTTTGTTACCTCTTTGTGTTTATTAAAGTCTTACCAGCAATTTGAACTTCCCCGATGGTGATTGCTGCGCGTACTCCACCGCTTCGGGGCAGTCGAAAGGTATGTGATAATGCCGAACACGAATGTCTTCCTCTTTATTTGTGACATATGCTCCGTGGTACGGAAATTTTCGCCCGACCCGTGTCGCGTGTTATTTCTGGAGCTAAACAGTGACAGTGTGACTGGTCGTCGGAAAACTCAGTCGGCTGAGGCGTTGGTCAGCTTGTCAAGTTCGAGCAGCGGCCATTTCGAGCGGCTGACCATCTCAGGTGCGTCGCTCCAAAAATGCGAGTTTATAATCCGCTCGTCGATTTGGAGCGGGACCCACAAAGCAGAATTTCGCCTCCCTCGCGAATTTTGGAAAGTGCTCCGGATCTGCCAGTGAAATTCACCATGAGTCATATCTTCTGCTTTCTTTTATGGGAACAACTCTAGCCACTATCCAGACAGCTGGCAATACTGCACCTTTGAATGATCTAGAAAATAGGTATATCTGTTAAGCACCTAGAGACCCATTCAGCATACCTTTTAAGGAATGCATTTGGCAATGCATCTGGCCCTGATGATTTCTTAATGTGAAGGGATAGCTATAATGACAATACCCTGCTCTAATATAATACTGCTCATTTCATTACCACATGTAACAACCATATTTTGACTCTCCCCTCTTGTAAACACAGATTGGATGAAGGCGTCAAATTTAAATACCATTTCCGTCTTGTACTCGCTGATTGGTCATTAATGCATAACTGGCTGATGCCGTTTTTCACCGAGATAGGTAATGCCATAACTTTTCGGGGGCTGATGAAAGAAATTCTGTCAAGGATTTTGTAAAGTATGTTTGTTTAACTGACTTTATCATTCTTTTTAAGTTGCCAGTCTATTCACTTACATCCGACGACCGGCGTTTTCAAAGCCTCTTCAGTTTCCGTTTTACGAGCAAAATTTTTCGTCATCCATGGGTTTCGGCGTTTAATCTTTTTTGCTCTTTTTGGAATATAAGTAGCAATACAATAGCCCACTATTGACTTCTTAACCACATGTGATTTACATCGGTCATCTGGTCGAAGCCATCAAGGTACTGCTTAAGATGGTCAATTACCGATTCGTCATTTGCCCGCTTAAAGTCATAAAAAGTCGTTGCTTAAGCCAGGTAAGTTTGAGAAACGGAAATATCACATTAAAAATATACCGATTTGTGATCCGATATCCCGTTAAGAACAGAAACATTGCATTCATCAAAGTGTTTACTAACAAACAAAAGGTCAAGTAACAAACATGATGTATCAAAGATACATGTGGGTCCTTGAACGACCCGACTAAAACCACAACTGAAATCCAGTTCAAGGAACGAATCGGATACATTTGCACCCGGCCTGGCCAAACCGTCATCCAACCAACTGACATTAGGTGCGCTAAAATCTCCCTCTATTATCAATTTACTTTGATTATCAGTGTTTGCAATTAGGTAATCAGCTATTTTCATCAAGTCTTCTGGAGATGGCCCGGGTTCTCTGTAGACAGATCCTAATGTTATGTTAGTTGCCCAAAAATTTAACTTGCAGCAGACACTTTTTGTGTCAACTGCTTGTTCTAAAGACTGACAAACTAGATTTTCCTGAACGGCTATAGCAACGCTGCCACCTCGGGAACATCTATCTTTACGAATTAACCTGTAATTAGGTGGCACCACTTCACTGTCTTAAATTCCACCATGCAGCCAGGTTTTTGATACCATAATAACATGTGGGTTGCAGGAAAAAATCATGGCTTTCATTTGACTAGTATTATTAACAAGACTTTTTGTATTTAACGGTATAACTCTTGGCTACCTCTTATCTGCCTCGCCACTCTGTCATGGTGTGAGACTGGGTTGCAGAAGAACAGTCCCCCTGACTTTCACCTTATTGTGTTTGTTTTTTTATGGTCCCAGACGTAGACTTCACCAGATGTAGATTTCACCGTATTACATGTTTGCTTCCCCTTCCAAGACAGCCTTCAAACAATCCTAGTTGGCATTCTTTTCAGATCATGACCAACAACATGCTTGTCATCAAGAAAATCAGAATGGTCCTGCCAATAAATCGTAACTACTTACCATATCCACGAGGGCAATGTATAGAAACATGCCACCCACGCCGGCAAAAATCCACGATGAAGCTGAATGGATGTTGCCCAGGGAGATGCCGATGGCCATTCCCACGAGGCACAGGATGGACGAGAGGATGTTGTAGAGCATGGCCTGCTTCACCGACATGCCTGCCTTCAGGAGGACGGCAAAGTCTCCTGCAGTTGAAATTGCAGGCACCGTATGTGAGCGAGAGACCACCACTAATGCAACTAGATGCTGCAAGCTGCACAATGTAGCTCTCTCTAGCCACATTTTCAATGTCAATACAATTACTGGAAAACATTAAGAAAGGACTGATGTAACTAGAAGCTGCGAAATGAAGTTCTTCCTAATAACCTTGTCAATGTAAATACAGTTACTAGTAAACATTCAGAAGCTGGTTTCATCCAGTGCTGTGAAAGCAGCTCTTAAAAAGTATGATCAAGCTACAGTTACCTGACCGGTTAAATTTTTATAAATGTATCTAGCTACAGTAACTCACCAAAAAAAAAGTGAAGTTTCAAAATCTTTTTAATAATCCCACAATGTTACTGTGTCCTGGAATCGCTGAATCAATATCTCCAAAAATGGAGGGCAAACCAATCGCTTACTCTATTAGCATTCACAATATCCAAATCCCCTTTGTTTTGATCTGAAATGTTTTGGCCAGATTTCCTAAATATTTGAAGAAAAATGCCTACCCATTTTTTTAATTCCTAGCTATGATAGCAACACAGCAGGGGAATGTTCCCATTTCAAAAACCTCCCACTAAAGAGAGACTAAAAACATATCTCGGAATATAAACCAAAATAAATGAAAATTGCAGCAGACAAGTCTGCTGGTGAAACACACTGATGATACATAATTTATAAACCCACAATTCCCAACACGCAAGTACAACGATCCTACATTAAAACAGAATTGTTACAAGCATATTGAAGCAAAAGAAAAGTCAATCGCACGTACCTAGCTCATGTGGGAGTTCGTGGCAAAAGACGGCTATAGTTGTGCTGAGGCCTCCGGAAAGACCCGATGCAAACGAAGCACCTGAGAAGCAAAAAAAACAAAAAACAATGAAAACGTTAAGGGGGCTGACTACCTCAAAATGAAGTACGGACAAAAATCTCACTTGAGGTACAGTAAAAGGTAATGTTCCCAGTACAGTCTGTAAGTTTGCGTTTATTCATTTTTTTTTGCATTGTGAGTATAGTCAACATCCTAGCATGATCGTTCCGGCCTGCCGCTGTCTCCAATCTCTTTGGCAATGGATTTGACGACAGTCGGTGCGGAGCGACGTTCGACAGCTCGGATCGAGTGCCCGGCCCGCAAAAATGATTCAAAGATGGCTACCCACAAGAAGGAGAAGGTGAATGGAGTCCCTAGGAGAGACTAGAGGAGGGAGGCTCTGGGGAACCTATCCCTATGACTTCTCATGCATTGCTGTGAAGCTCAGGGGTGGAAAGAAGCTTCAGCCTTTTGGAGCAGGTCTGGCAGCAGCAAAGATGCCCCTTTGGAACAGCTTTGGAGCAGTAAAAGTTCTGCTTTGGAACAGCTCAGGAGCAACAAAAGTCAAGTTTCATAGCAGTATACATAAATCTTGGAGCTGGTCACCCAGGTCAAACTTGGGGCTAAAGGTAGAGGTGCGTTTTTCTAAATACAAAAATATCAACGAAAAAGCATCTCCATGTGACACTCCGGAACTGTTTCCAAAGTGAAAGCATGAATGTCCTTCTTCTGCACCCTTAGTTTGTCTGCAGTGTAATGGCGTGGATGATATACAGCTGAACCTCGATTTAACAAAGTCGTTTTTTAAGCCGAAAATTTAATTAAATTGCGAAATTTCGTTAAACAGAGGTTTTTTGTTTTTTAGCATTGCAACTGGTCTTCCAGGCTCCAAAAACCCTTTAATTGCCTCACATCTTGCAAGTCAGCATTTACAAATAAGATTCCACTACAAAATGTGGCGGTAACAGACGAAAGCAGTTAGTCGACCCTCATTTAGTAGGGTTATGAAAGCAGTGCCTAGCACCACAGGAGAGCGTGCAGTCGAGAAAGCAACTGCAGTCAGGAAACCAATCACTGGCACTTACGGTAGCCACAATGCTGTCTTCCAAATTCAAAATCGTCGAAGGCGAAGTCTGCGAAACTTTATACCATATTTACACGAATGTAGATCGACCCATTTATCAATTTTTGAAAATTTGAAGTATCATTTACGATAAAGTGGACTAGACACACGGCTATTTTTGTGGCAGCTTGCCGCCACAGCACTGGCCGCCATATTACCATGATGGCTAGAGTCAATATAACTCTAGCAAAAAGATGGTCAACCGTGGCTTTTATATGTTACATTTATAATACTAATGAGGAGTGTGGAAGCGGTCTCAGCAGAAGCACTGCACCCCAAACACGCAAAAAAGAAAAAAAATATTATGCCAAATGTTTGTTTAATTTTGTAGAGTAGTTATCACTTCCCCCAGAGGTTAGATGACAGGTGAACAAATTCCAGAAAGCTCTTAGGTATGTCTATATACCATAAGGTTCTGAGAAAATGCCCACCCAAAATGAAAAGGTAAATGGGGTGTGTGTGTGTGTGTGCGTGGGGAGCGGCACGGGGCACGACAAGTTATGTGAAATAGGAACTGTGTGTGTGTGTGTGGGGGTGGGGGGGGGGAGGGGGCATAGGGCACTACAAGTTTATGAAACAGGAACTCTTCAACTTCAGTTTCTTAATTTCTTCCTCACTACGGTCTCGGGTTTCTAATATCACGACTAACTATCACCAGCTCACCAGCGCACTCACTGTCTTTCTATTAATGACACATATTGCAGACACAACAAACTCGATTGAGCGATAAGCATACGGGAATTCGCTATGAAGTCCCCTGTTATGAGTAAGGCAGCAGAACGCGGATGCGGCGCAATTGCACTTTTACAGGCACACAATGTTGACAAGACCCCATTGGTATGGCGATTTCATAACAATGGGGACTCTTAGCAAACTATTACTGTGTTCCGTGTACCACATTAATGGAGCTATTGAAGCATGTTTTTAAGCGTGCGCCCCGCGGTCATGGTATCACTCAAGAGCGCTCTTAAAAGTATGCTTCAAAGGTTCCAGTAGTGCACGGTACGCGGAACACGGTAATGGTTTAAGTCCCTATTGGTTCAAAATGATCAAAACGAACACAACAGAGTAAACCACTGTGGCCCATAAAAAAAAGTACTCCAATAACGTAAAAAAAAACACATGTTTTTTTGCTGCTTTTTGCACGACATGTGCACTTGGAGGCAGGATGGCGCAGTGAAAGTGGATTGGCACACAATGGTGCAGTGCTTCCGCCCCTGGAAGCTGCACTTCTGCCGAAATTCGCACGTGACCTGTGCTTCCTTTGAGTTTATGTCCATTTTGATGTGGGCAATACGCGAGAAAATATGGTACGTGGCTTAGACCTGCTAAGGTAAGGCTTAAACGAGAGAGACGTTTTACTTAGAGGCAGGGACAATCGAGAAAATGTGGAGGCCCAAGGACCCCGTGAGGGTGCTCTGGGAAACCCCTGGGTTCTAGGAACACTTTCCGAGAACTCACGTGCAAGTGCAACAGGTGGCGTTGACCACGGGCGGACACTCACCGATGGCCAGCCCATCCGAGAAGTTGTGTAGGCCATCCCCGATGATCACCATCCAGGCCATGGCCGCCACTGTGGAGGGCACCTCGTGGCTGTGCCCGTGGTGGTGGTGGTGGTGGTGGTGGTCAGCCACCGTCAGGGTGAAGCTGTGCTCCTCGCCTGTCTGCCGGAACACCAGCGTCTCCGTGTGGCACTCCTCCGTGCCGGGGTCCCGTGACCCATGGCACAGCGGGTGCCGGTGGCTGCTGTCCTCCTCGGGGGTCGGAGGCGAGGGGGGGCACCTGCCGGCGGCCATCTTGGAGCCCCCATTTTTCACAATCACCACCAGGTCCTGGCTCTTGTCTGGCTGGAGTGGGGCATCACCGTCACCGGCATGCAAATGGTGGTCATGGTCTTTCAAGTCCACGATCTCCATGTAGCCGTTTCCGCCACCATTGTCACCGAGTGGTGACAGCTCCAGCTCTTCCGCTGGGACGGCTGTCAAGTCTAGAAAATAATAGAGAGAGGTCGGTACAGATTTCTCATACCCCTGTCTATAGGGTATTTATCATAGAACTCAAATTTTTGTTATTGAAAAAGAAAAAAAAAATATTCTCTTCAGCACCTTTTAGGAAGACCACATGTCAAATATGATGCAATTACGTTAAATGTTTCTTAAACAGGTCACAAATATTTGATGATTTCCCAATCGCATGCATTTGCCTTAGAGGTCATTACATTCAAAAACTGCCATTGAAGAACTTGAGGCGACACATTAAGTTGCCTGGTCACGACTGCTCTTTTTTGTTTGCTTGGTTCCAATTCTTTTTCATGCCGTTGCCTCTCATGTGCATTTCTTTACCTGGGCAGGAACTATTTTTTGCGAGCCATAAGAAGCATTAAGGCATCATTCGCAAGAGCCCACTGCAAGTTTTCATCTCATTCACTGGCACAGACACACTTCTGTTGTGTTTGGTTTACCTCAATTCCCTAGTTGCACCTCACGTCTCCAACCAAGTATCACCATGCCATAGCACTTGGACACTGCTATGGCCTCAAGTTTCATAACTTCAGACCAGTGCGCAATCACCAAGCTTCACTATTTTACACCGGTGCGAGCATCGATCATCACCACTTGGCACCACAGCGGATGACGTGGGGGAAACATCCAAGTCAGCTTTGTGGGCTCGGAAGTTTTTTCCCCTTTATTAAAACTAGATTCACTGATTATAATTATAGGTCGACCACTACAGTTGACTCTGGTAGCTCAAAATCACTTTGTTAGAATTTTCGGTGAGTTCGAAGCAAAGGTGCAGTCCTGGCAATTACATTTCTATGGGAAAAATTGCACAGTAATTCAAAGTTTAACCTCTGGAAATGGTTACTTTGAAGGATTTTCTTTTACACGCTCGAGAACTCTGGCAACTCTAGGAACATGAAGAAGCTGCGTGATTATGTTGACCAAGCTTAAATTGCCCCCTTGCACACTTTATCGCTTTCATCTACCGTGCGAGCAGTCGGCAACAAGAGGGAACAAGTGCGGCGCGCGACTAAGACGGTACGTGGCCAGACCAATGAAGCAGCCAAGTCATTTTTAGACTACTTGCCCGACTGGCAAGCCTGCCTGCCACTGATGTCACGGCACTGAAAAGTGCGCGAATATTTGAATGTTGGTTTTTGCACCATTTTCATTTGCCGATTTCACAATACCTATTATGAATTTTGCAATACTAAATAGCATATAGGTATGGGTAAAGGCTGGGGAGTCAGAAAATATAGTTAGTTGAGGTAGCTCAAAAAATCGGTGGAGCACCCCTTTAAAGGGCAACTCCGCTTCATTTTTGTTTTTGGAAAAACAATTCAGTCCTCTTCAGTATCACCTAGGAAGACCACACGTCAAATATTACGACCTAGTTCTGTCTAAATGTTTCTTAGACAGTCCGGCAAACTTTGCAACTCGCCAAGTTGCTGAAATCTGCTGACTCGAGCGGGCGAATTCAGGTGCAACCAACAGCGCAGTCAAGGTTACGGTGTGGGCGTAGCCAACATTGAACTAAAGATCATCACCATAGCCCTCTTTTGCTTGTTTTTACTTCTCCGGACAAGTGTAACGGTTGACGTCAGCAATGTTTCCTCCCTGTGCTCAGCGGTGTCTACATGATTGGCGTATTGCGCCTGCGCAGTGTGCTTCTTGGGAGCCGTTCGGCTGTCTCGCCGTGGTCCCACCGTTACCGCCGTCTCCCCAACGCAACCACTATCGTCATTTTACTGTTTGTGATTATTGTCTCTCGGAGTTTCATTCACGCAACAGACACAATGTCCACAGACTTATGCTGAATGTCCTAGACATCAAAACGTAGTGAAGAGTGCAGTGCAGACGACACTTGTGCCCGGCACGTGCCCGCCCCAATCCCGCCTGTTGTTGCGTAGAGGATCACCTGACATCTGGTACCACTGGATAGCCATGTTCTTGGCGGCCCAAGGCCAATGTTGCCAGAGGGAGCCGAAGTTTCAGTTTTGATTTCTGCTCGTGTTTAAAATTAGATTTAACAATATATATCCCATTTTTCACGAAGCAAATGACGTAGTGTCTTTTGCTAGTGCTTTTTTAATGTGAAATCACTCATTATCCCGAAATCTTCAGAACTGAGTGGAGTCGCCCTTTAAAAACAATCACGTCGCTTTCCGAACCGAGTGCCGCCGGTGCGGAAACTGTTGTGGTCCAATTTTGCATTTTCTTTGGTGAAGAAACTGTTCTGAGTCACCCCAAGAAAGGTTTACAATTTGCAGATCATAGTTAATACTGTGCATCTTCGTTAGCAGAGGCAAGCAAAAATCAATATGAGCATTAAAAACCAAAAAAAAAACAATGAATAAAAAAATGGTTTGAGTGACTTTTTTTGTTTTGAAGGCAAGATATGCTTAATTTGAAGTGTTTTGCTGTCCCCATGAGCCTTAAATTATTAGGAGTCAACCGCAATGTTAAAAAGAGGTGCCGAAAAAAAATGTCGACATATATTTGACACAGCATCCACAGTTACGAAGTGCACATAAAATTAAATTAAATTCTTGTACGTGAGTTGCTCCCTTTCACAAGAACTCTATCAGTTGCTATGTTTCCTGGATCGCACATTTTTTGTTGCAGTACCCTGGAAGACATTAACAAGGTTTCCTTGTATCTTAAAACATTCGGGAATCGAGTGAAGTTGAAATTTCTGTTTAGTGTTGTAAAAGATGATGACAACACTGTCGCTCCTATGACAGTATGGACAGGTGCTATACAACAACACAGTTGAGTGTACACTGGTAGTCAAGAAAAAAGATGCGCCTTGTGTGCTCTTGGCCATTCCTCTTCCGTAGGTGGCCCGGTCCTGGTAATCATTTGATGCTTACGCTCAAGGGCTTCCATTCCCGAGGGGTCCATAAAACTGTAGGATCCCCGCTTGTGATGGGAAAGCTTCTCATCCATTGCCCGGCTGTGCTCCTCCTGCACTGCGCTTCGTAGCCTCTTTGGTGTGTGGGTTGACTGTAGGTGGTGTAAACAAAAGAAACCACCGTCAATTTAAAAATGCTAGAATGCAATAGGAATGAAAGTACAGAAGTCCATACCACACAAAAGACAAAATTCAGAAGCAAAAATTCAAACACACAAGAAACATATTACTTTTCTCTTTCGTGCTCAAATGTCTCAACATATATAGTGAGCGAAGTAACTCTCTAACACTCTAAAAAAAAAGCGCGTGCGTCTGCTTCCTCGCACAACACTCGGAGAGCCAATCACCGCAACTTACGGAGGCAGCTCAGCGAACGACGATGCCGGAACATATGTTTAGAGGAAAAAACGCAGTCTGAGTTGCGACATTAAGCAATGCAAGCGTGACGTTTTGCATTGCTTAATGTCACAACTCGGACTGCATTTTTTAATCTAAACATATGTTTTGGCATTGTCATTCGCTGAGCTGCCTCCATAGGTTGCAGTGATTGGCTCTCTGAGTGTTGTGCGTGAAAGTAGACGCACAAACTTTTTTTTGAGTGTATACTATAGTAAATTTTAGGCAATTAGTTTTGCCCAATTGTAATGAAGCCGGTTTGAGACTGGTTATAGCAAAGCCAGTTACAATGGAATAGCCGCTACAGCGAAGCGATCACAATTTCCCAATCCCGTATGCACTTTTTCAATGCATTGGTGTCTCTTTAGAGCGAAGGAAATGGAGAACCTCCTGTAAATGAATATAGCAAAAAAAAAAAAAAACATTTTAATTAACAATAATTTAAAAAAAAATTAAAGTTTACAAAGTTTTAGACTGCTGCACTTTGCTGCCGCGGCCGAGCAGCCATCCAGAACGGGCCGCACACGATGCTGCAAAGGCCGGCGGTGGTAGCCTTTGCATCGTCGTCTGCTCCCTGCTCCTTATTTCAAAAGAGGCATTTCCAGATAGAACGAAGATAAACTGTCGTGGCATGCCAATAGGGGCGTTCGGAGCGCTAGCGACAGCCTACTGATGAAGATGACGGAGAGAGCCTGAATTTTGAAGGGGGAGCCACTTTAACCATTGACAGCATTTGCAATTTAATGGCAGACACCTCCTGGTCAGAATGGCGCAAGTGTGCCTGCATTTGGTTGTCTCGTGGCCAGTGTGCCGAGGAAACTGGGAAAAGATGCGGACACGTTTGCAGAAGGTGAACGTTTGAGTTTTGACTCCTTGCAGGCTGCGGCTCAGTTTCCAAACGCGGCCCACAAACCATGCGACTCCAATTGAGCAGTTGCCCACTCTTTTAAATCTAGGCTCTCTATACCAACGAAACACAAACTTCAGCGCGAACTCTGTGCTGTGTGTGCTTCGTTTGCCATGTGTTCCATGTCGGCGTCGCTGGTTGGTGCGGTCGCTCCTCCACAAAAGTAACTTTGCTCAAGTACTGATCAGGCGCATCATCGCCACTCAACAATGGAGAGTTCTGGCACCGCTGGCACCTCAACGGAGCAGACGAAGGCAATCTCCTTGAAACAAAAGCGTGCCATCCTTGATGAAGTGTGCATAAACGCAAAGAATGCCATTCACCGCCGATGTCCTCCGCAGCGACCGTCGCACCTGTCGACACAATCTGTACGTAGCTCGCTCGCTGGATCTTTCCTTGATTGGAGCTTGTCGAAGTTGGTTGATAAGCGGCTCCAATCTAGCAGAGAGCGTGCAGAAAAGCTTCGACCGCTTTCTGCATAACAATAAACTTGTGCCAGTGACGGCCCGTGTTATCTTTTCTTGTATGTTACTTTTATGGAGTCCAGATATAACGAAGAAGTGGATATAGCGAAGTGATTTCAGATTCCTGTTGACTTTGTTATAACCGTTCTCGACAGTAGTATGTTTTTTGCAATACCAAAAGGCTGCTGTGGCTGGCAGTTTGTTCCCAAAAAGAGGTTTTTTTTGTTTGTTTTTTTCAAACACATTATTTTTGGCAATGTTAGAAAAAGTCTTTGCAAAAACACCCGGTATTCTTTATACTATTTTCGTGCTGCGACAGCGCTCGCTAACCAAAGCGCTGGGATGTAGTGTGGTGTCCCGTGATTTCACGAGGCACCAGAGCTTCGTGCACGTGGGGCGATTCGGGAGAGCGAAGTCACTTCTTGACCTCAGTTTGCCCTTAAGACCAATAGAGGGCGCTTCGGCGTCCTTTGGAGGTGGCAGAGAGAAACCCTCTTGCCGATCGGTCATTAAAACACTGCACACAAGGGGCGTGTGCATCTCTTTCCCCTGTACGTCAGCATTGGACTTGGGGAAATGCAGAGTCGCGCAAGTATGGTGCTTTGATAGCCAACACCACAAGTACAACAAGTGTCGGCTTGTGAATCGGGCCTAGCTCTTTGCGAATTGTATGGCACGGGACAATTGCACTGCTGTCATAGTTGGCCCGTGCGTTATCGATACACATGGTTGGTCTTTCGTCTATTGAACGTTCAATAAACAGGAGTGAAACAGGAGTGAAACTCTGCTCCTAGGTTGTTCCATGCATTTAAGAGTTTCTTTTATGTTTTGGACACAAAGACAATGATGGGCCCGGTCTCGTCTGCTTGGTTGCAGACTGCTGGGGAGCCGACTTGCCGGCGGGTGTATGTAGGATTTGCCATAATTGCAGTCATTGTGTATCTGAGGCCAACTCGGTTGTCACCTCTTCAGATTTTAATGCCTGCCCGAATGAGCTCTGACCAAATCTCGTGCCAATGAACGCCACATACCTGGATGCTGTTGCTAGACTTTGGACTGTGCTTGCGGTGCTTGTGGTTGGAGTGAATGGAGAGGAAGCGCTCCACAATGAGGAACACGTAAATGCCGCCGAGAGCAGCGAGCCCGTGCCACACAAACTCCTCCCCCTCTCCTTCCTCGGAGTGATCATGGTGGCCCGACATCGCCTGCACATTTTGAGCCACACGTTAAAACAACCCAACATCAGAGCTTCCGAGTCACAAGCTGCAAGGACTTACAAAATGTTGCTTCTGCCCAAGACGACGAGCAGTTTGAAATCAATGCAAACAAGTTTAAGAGCCTTTACCTCCAAGAGCTCTCCAGGCAAAATGAACTGACCAGTGATGCATCAATTTGCCAGATTAAGACAATTTATGACTTGTCTACCATTAAATTTAAAGGGTAACCTGTTTTGTTGCTAGACACTGGTGTCGGAGCAAGGTGGGGCAGAGGTAGGAAGGAGGCAGGCGGAGCAAGGCCTTCAGCAAAGGGCGACAATGAGCGGAGATGAAACTAAAGCAATTGTTGCACAATAGCTTAGTTTGAATGTACTATGCTCTGCAGGCATCAAACATCAAAACTCGCGTTGGAAAAAAAAAAAGAAGCTTTGCCTGGTGCTTGGATTTTTTTTTTTTTTTTGGCTGCAAATTGTGTGTGCGATAGGAAACCAGATAAAACCAGCAGGAGGGCACAAAAACAAATATTCCCACACTTCGTACAGGTGAGGGAGATAGAGATGAAGGAGAGCCGTGCGCACCTTGACAACAGTAGGCAGTTGAAAAACCCACAAGCTTAGTTGCCCGATTACAACAAGCACCATCAAATTCATTTACTCAGCTTCAAGAGCTGCAACGGCCATGTTACTGTAAGCGAGCTAGGTTCAATGGCTGCTGAAAATCACGCTTTAATAAATGAACTGTTGCACTCCCAATGCAACAACCAGGAAGGCCCGCAAAGTGCATTAAGACAAATAATAAATGAATACACAACTTCCATGAGAGCTGCAACAGGGCCGGAGGTGTTGAAAGTAACTAGGAAACCGTGTCAACCCAAACCGTACCCATGAAATTCTACCAAAAAGTCAAGTTTTCACAGCATCTATGGGACTCTGTCCCATTACTGTAGCGCACATTTATGTACCTCCTCAATGAAACAATGATGCTAGTGCAGACGTCTAAAACAAAAAATGAATTAATTTAAGCATCTCTCGATTGTATCTCATAAGTGCAGAAAAGCACAAAATTTAAGTGAGCTAGGCACAAGCTTCGTGTGTGACATCATGTAACACCATGACACCAGACGACACCCAAACTTGATGTCAAGTCATGCGGCCCGTCTGTCGGGAAAATGCGTGGCTTTCCTCATGAAACCTAGCCCTATGATGCATTCTGCGTTAGAAAGGCTTATTGCATTATCTGACCACCCAAGTTTAGAAATGTAAAAGCTGCCACGAAGCACGAAATTCGGCCTTACGTGGGGCAGCAGGTGAAGCATAGCGTCTCCCGTGAGACTGCCGATGGCCAGCCCAACCAGGAACTGTATGAGTGTCTGGTAGAACACTTTCTTCATGAGTGGCACAATGGCCACGCTCACCAGGCCACACAGGCTGATGGCCAGCACTCCGAGGAAGGCGTACATCCAGACTGAAACAGAGGAGCAAAAGCAGTTTGGTAAAACAAACTCACAAATTCTCTAACACTGGCATGGAGCCTGTTTCACGGAGCAGGTAGGAGCCAACATTCTGCTACTACATATAAAGCCAAGAAGCAAGTTTATTTCAATTTATTTTCAATGGAGATCGAAGTTTGAAGTAAAATAACAGTTATAAGTCGTTATAAGAAGTTTTAAGGGCAGAGATAGCCTAAAAAAAACTTTTTCTTTTTGCAAAAAAAAGATTAATTGATTTCAAAGAACATTATAGTTAGGTTCACCAACAACTAAAGAATTTTTCCACAAAATTTCATTCATTTCTGCAGCACAGTTGACTTGCTTTCAATTATTTTCAGTGCCTCAGTGATATTTAAAAGATGAAGATCTGGACCCTTCCAGATGCAATTTTCTTCAATCCATTTTTTCAGTATAAATTTCACTTTAGTCATTCTATAGTTTCTTCAAAGACTAAGGGGAAGGCTCACTTTTCATTTTTCCAGGCTGAAATTTAATGAAGGAAAGCGACTGTGGGATTGTGTTTTTACTTTATTGATGTTTAAATATATATATATATATTAAGACTTTTTGAGGACACAGAAGACATAAAACATGCTAGACTTTGCAAAACAATGTTATCAAAACACATTACTTCTTACAAAATCCCCTTTCACAGTCGCACTCCCCAGACAATCTGTATTGTACATGGCAAAAAAAGAAAATTGTTCAGCTTTTCCACTCTCGTGAAGAAGGAAGACCAGCGGAGCTGTACTCAATACACTGGCTGCTTCTTCTTCGTCATCGTCGTCTGTTTTTTGCGCTGTTTCCTACGATGAATTTCCACCAACGCACCCAACTATCCATTCTTCTATTATAGCTGGAAAGATCGGCGCCATCTACGAGCGACGGCGGAAACCAACGCTTGCTGCCGTAGCTCACAGATGGCAGTAGCTGTCCAAGTAGGTTTGTGTCGACATACCGGACACAATCCTGGGGAACCTAGCCCTTAACACCTCCGCTGTAAAAGCTGAACATTGTATTATTTTATTCATGATAAATTGACTAAGCAATGTTGGTGTGTCCCTGAAAGGAACTGTGATAAGTTTTCACGATTAGGGGGGACACTTTCCAGAAAAAACAACTTTTGAACCCCTCGCATTGAAAAAAATAAAAAAATCAATGGTGTGGACTGTTAATTGTGACAAAGGATGCAAAAAAATATTTTCAGCTCTCCACGTTAAGTAAAGGTTAATTCGGCAAAGACAAATGACCCACCCTCTTTAAAGGGGTGGTGCAACGATTTTCGCAAATTAGTATATGCCAGGATGAAGAATACAAAACCATTTTTTTTTTACTAGGCAACAGAAAGAATAAAACAGAGAGGACAAAACACAGATGAGTACATTCTTTCACGCATGCACTAGTTTTTACAAGAAGAATGAAACAAACCGAAGGTACCCCTCAACTCCACAGTCTTTAGAAAGATGCGCAATGACATCACCAGGTAATATACCTTCAGGGCCCCCAGAAATATATATATATCGTGATAGTTGACTTTTCAAGGTCCGATTCGGCTACAATGAAGCACTGTGCCCGCTTAGCATCCCTGAAGGTCACGGCGACTAATCAAAACGAAAGACGGTTTGCCACGGGAAAAACGGGGAGGGTAGCGCAGCGGAGAGGAAATGGTTCCGTTGATTTTCGATAGGTGGCGCCACAAAAAGTTGTGTACTCCCAATAATGTGTGATTGTGGTTCGCCCCCAAATGCGGCTGCAGATCGGCCTTGCGACTACGCGGCGGAATAGTAGTATACTTTGGAAGGAGGAGGCACATTTTCTCTCACCTGGGCAAGGATAAACAATATAAAAAAATACAAGCTGCAAATTTTTCAAACGTTAAAATATTTGCAGTGCCCTTTTAAATGCTTCAAAAGGCAACTGGTGAACGCCTGATAGGGCCACAAAAGGGCACCCTACAGTCGGTACCAGTTTCAGCTTGTCTTCATCTTACATATGGTCGCAAAAAGATGAATGGGACAACTCAATTTAACGAACCGAAACTTCTTATTCAAATAAAGGAGAATAAAAATGAAGGAAATAGAAACACTCAATTACTTGACACTGATGCAATTGTTACTAAAAGATTGAATGGATGATACTGAAGTCCTACCATATAAAAAAAAAACCTAGAAATTAAGAGCTGAACCATCTGAGACATGTGATGTGCCCACCTTTAAAATCCACTGTGACTCCCTCACCATCGCTATGATGATGAATGTGCTTGCTGGAAACAGGTGTAGAGCAGTGCTTCTGGTCAAGCTGGTAAATAATGGCTGGGCAGAGGTACCGAAAGCTCTCAAGGTTGATAGAGCTCTTCTCGGGGCTAATGTCGAAAGTGTGCAGTATTTCCGTAGCAGTTAGGCACTGAAAAGGTGAATAGAAAATAAGCATTTAGAAAGCCCAAGTTAAAAGAAATAGGCTGTACTTGTCACACTAATGTTGCTTGGGAAAGGTAAGAAGACATCAGCAATCGATTTGAACATTTCAAAATACCAGAAACAATTTATTTTCGTGGGTTCAATATTCCTTTTGCATGCCTAGTCTAGGTTTGAGTTGGGGCATTCCTTGCAAGCACAAAACATAGGCAATGCACACCATGCCAGCAAAGACAATGCTATAACTAAGGTTCGGCGTTTTCGGTTTTTGTTTTTTCAAAATACGGCATACTTTTTTCGGTGTTTATTTTAAAATTCAATTTTCGTTTTCTTTCGGTGAACATTTCTTCCGAAGAAAGTTTACCGGTTTCCTTCTGTGAATATGAAAGAAACACCATCGGACACCGGATTAGATGATCCTTGTAGCTGTGATATTTGAGATTACTCAATGAAGGATGGCACATATACATACGCTGTCTTCGCTGCAGCTTTCGTCAGGACACACCTCAAAATCGCAGAATTCGCGAGCATAATCTTTAGCACGCTTCTTTTTCCTTCCCATTTTGACGACGTGACTGTCTGAGGTGATGACCGTACAGCTAACAGTGGAATGGCAAAAAAAATGCATTGTACTAATGTTCTTAACCACAGGGAAGTTTGAGAGATATTGTTAAGGAAGGTATTAACGGTTTTCCTCGATGTCCTCTGAAGTGCCATAAAACGAAAAACCTTACACTAGCCCACATCCGAACTTTTTTTTTAGGACGGGGAGCTTGACACACTAAGCCCGATCACAGAAAGGACACAGATGTCCCGTGAAGGCAAATCCAAGACCTCTTTTGTTGCATGTCGAACCTTGCAAGGGGACAATCACGAAGACGTAACACAAGGTCGAACCTTGCAAAGCCCTCTCTCTGTCCCTGCCCCCCCCCTTTTCCTCACCCACCTCGACGCGGCCCTAAAGAACTGACCTTTTTCGGTTCAAACCGAATTAGACATACTTTTATCAGTTTTTATCAGTTTAAACCGAGCACGCCGAACCTACAAACTGACCTTTTTCAGTTAAAACCGAATTTTCGAAAATGGATCCGGCGTAGTTTTATCGGTTTAAACCGAAAACTCCGAACCCTAGCTATAACCACCAGCAAATTGGGTTGCAAAAGACCAATTTTCTGCAAGTTCTACAGCTCCTTGTGGCATGCTCATGTTGCTGTCAGGGCCATGCAACCGTCATGGCCGCATGGTCCTGGCAACAGAAAATATACACTTTATATTGTTTAAAAGGCACTGACACATATTGTATACAGTATCAATTTGAATGTGATACTCCAAGAACTCCACTCGGAAAACAAGTAGACAATATGGGCAAAATTGTTTGCAGACGCATGATTGGGACTTCTTTTTATAAAAGGATATATTTATGCACACTAGACGCTACTTGAAAATTTACATAGATTCCCTAAGAAGGTATTGGAAATCTGTTGCTAATAGTTTGAGATAGAAAGCACATCAAAGGTGTTTCAGATGACAACTGTCAAAACCATGCCTACATTCTCAACCCACTCCTCTGGAATACCATTTCTTCAAAACTAAACATCTCCGAACCTTAAAATAAGAAACATTGTATGTGGACTATATGCCAAGTCATTTAAAAACTTGAAGAAAAACTAAAAATATAAATATACTTCACTGCCTAAATATAAAACTGCCCATATGCATAATGCAGCCTCCACTCCGTAAGTAATGGAGATACCACCCCTCCTTCAAAAATCATTCCTGGCTACGCCACTAGTCCCCAAGGTTGATGGCATGCTCCTTATGGAATACACTCCAGGCCCCCCCAAAGTTAGTCTTCTTACTGTAAAATACCGCAGATGCGTCCATTTCGTTTAAATGCCCAGAATATACCGTATTTGCACGAATATAACGCGACCACGAATATAACGCGAGGGCAGTTTTTGATGCCCCCAAAAAGAAAAAAAAATATTATTACTATTATAACGCGAACCGATGCCGCGTCAATTTCTCGCACTTGGGGGCATAGCAGAAGTGAAAAGTCAATGGAAATGGAAGAAATATCTGTTTATGTTTTGACTGCACTCATCCTCACTGCTCAGGTCCTTCCGTTTACAATCCACTTGGCGACTACGCAGGTATGCAGCAGCACGGCACCTGCTTGTCTGGTAGTTCTTTTTTCTTCCGTGGGAGCTCCTCGGCAGCCCACAATCCAAACAAGGCGCGGAAGCAGAAGCACCAACACACAAACACCAGACCACTCTGGAGCAGAAACTAAACAATGCGCTGGCAGAAAAAAAGACTGCTGAACCCGATACACGATCACACTTCTTGTTCTGGTCCCTCTTCGTAAACAAATGCCTCGTGTTGCACGATTGCGTAAACGCGGTCGGCGGTCTTGGCTTGGCTTGTGTTGATTTGACTTGACCCGGCTTGGCTTGGCTCGAATTGGCCGGTGCCCGCATTCCCGCATGGCGCGCGCGCGTGCAGCGTGCGCGCGATGTAAAAACACAAAAGCGATAAAAATGCTTTTTTATGTTTTCTATTCGCCCCTTCACGTGGCCCAATGGCTAGAAAATGGCCCTCCACACCCCCACTTCTTTTCCCATTGGATCTTTTGCATTGAGCCGGAGGGATGACTTTCTCCTCTGGCTTTCTCCAGACTCGCGCGCCTCGTGGCTGAACTCGATTCCGAATATAACGCGAGGTGCGTTTTGGAGCACGTAATTTCGGAAAAAAACTCGCGTTATATTCGTGCAAATACGGTACATTTTGCAAACTTGGGAATTCTGCAAATTATATATTAACCACCCGATTTGACCGGACAAGCGCCCATCTAAATTGGTAACCCAGTTTTCAGTAAAAATGGGGTGGACGCTCTCCCGGTATTTAATGGTAATCTCATTAAACTAGTTCTATTTCTGTCGTTGGTTAACTTTTTATCTATGACAATACAGTCGACACTCATTAATTCAAACTCGAGGGGGGCTGAAAATTTGTTTGAATAAAGCAAAGTTTGAATTATCAGGAGTTCCCTCTTATAAAGACGCATAGGATCGGATCTGCATGTTACTTTGAATTATCCGCAATTTTGAATTAACGGATATTGAAGTAATGAGAGTCGACTGTACTACAATGTATACAGATCTACGCCTTGCATTGTCCAACCTAAGCAATATGAGCAAACAAAACCTAACAAGTTAACAAAATATAGAATGACTACAGTTCAAGTTTTGTGTTACGAAAAAAAGTGTGAGGTACCTGTAGTATAGATCTGCCCATTTTTATGTGGTGACAACCTAGAAAAACTAACCTTTTCAAAGGTGATGCTAGTAGCCTTTTGAGTAGGGTTTGGTACATCCACAAGACCTGTAGCATTGAAAGATGCCTTGACTGATGGCTCTGAAGTAACAAAAAACAGAGGGAAGAGATGTTGAGATGTGTTAAAACCCTAAAATCTCTCAAACAGTGCAGAGCACACTGCACTTCAAATATTTGGCTTGTACTATCGGGCTGCAATGGAACGCGAATGGTGGAGTGGCCTTTGACACGAGCCTGGAGAACCCCTGCCTCACCCTGGAGTTCCCCAGGGAGTGCAGCATGTATTGAAGGCCACGTGCTTGGTCGTTTGCATTTCATTGGGGCACCCCCGATAGCTTTTCTCCGAAATTCAGGGTGTTTTTTTAAGCTTTACAAACTTATTTAAAAAAAGATGAAAATGCTACACTTACGCGTTTTGTGCAGGTGAGTTATACAGCCAGGGGGACATAGTATAGGGGGGCTAATCATAGCGATAAGTCGGCTAATTAAGTATAATTTGTTAATTAACTTTGTAAGTAATGAAAATAGACATATGGTTCCAAATAGAAACTTGCTAAGCATCATCAACAACCACTAAATCAACTCTTTTCGGGAAGATACAAGACGGGGGCAGTATTTTACGGCGATCTGAAGAAACAATAAATTTGGATGCGTTTCTAGGTTTCGGTTTCTTATTGGAACGCATCTTTGCACCCACTGTCCCGCACCCGGTGGTCGCAGCGCAAAGGCACCTTAGCCCCCCCCCCCCCCCCCCCCCCCCCCCTCCCTCGTAGGATAGAGGGAAGTGGGCACACGTGTTGCGCATCTCAGCCACTCGGGAGGAGGACTGCTGGCGCAGAGACGCGCTCCGATAAGAAACCGAAATCTATCCGTAAAATGCTGCCCCTGCGTTATCCCCTTCTAGAAAAAGTTGATTTAGTGGTTTTAGTGATGCTCAGCACGTTTCTAATTGTAAACCTGTATATTCTCACTGATTAAAAAGTTAATTAACAAATTTTACTTAATTACCCAACTGATCGTTACAATTAGCCTCCTATACTATGTTCCCCTGGCCATGGAACTCACCCAAACAAACTGCGTAAGTGTAGCTTTCACAGCTTTTTTTTTCTAAATAGCTAGTATAATAGTATAATAGCTAGAGCTCTGTGTTTTCGGAATTTATTTTTCGTCAAATTCGGAGGGTGTTTTTCGGAGTTTATTTTTTGCCAAAGATTCAAAGTTTATATTTTTTTTATTCCCCATTCTCCGAAATTTGGAGTTTAATTTCGCTGTGTTCCCTATTCCAATACATAAATAAATAATAACCGAATGTAAATGTATGCCAGATAAAAAAGAAAACGCGCTTGTATTAATAAATATCTTCAGTTGAATTTGGCATTGGTGCCATTGCCATTGGCAATATCAATTTCTCACGACAAAAGTCACATACAAGTGGTGCTTCGATGAACGCCGATACCCTAAAATCAATGAACTCCCGGAGGTAGTCGCTAGGATACTCGTAGTCATCCCATCCTATTCCATCAATCTAGCCCGCGGCCACGCGAGGTGGAGTGGTTCAAGGCCGACATACAACCTCGGTTTTCTGCAAGGAAGATAATCCTTCTAGCGTTCCTCCTTTCCTAAGCTGCGAGGGTAGCCAAGTTGGAGGAAAATAAAAACTGGAGAGGATATAGGAAAGGAGGAGGCGGGCAAGAGTGGAAAGCACAAAGTGTACGTCGGCCTTTAAGGAGGTAATAGAGAGTTTGAATTGTCCCTCCTCCCAATTTTATACAATCCCTATGGCCCATAGCTTTCACTGTTACTAAAGCATACCCTCTCCTTTCTCTAAATCACAAATTGCAAGGCCCAAACTGGAAACCAAAAAGAGTGGCTTTTGTCGTGACCCGAATGTACAACGAACGACCTGTTCCCCTGAATCAACCTTGAAGAGAAGAGACAAGACCCCTTTTGACAACGGTCCGAGATTTGAAAGATAATTATGATGAAATTATCCCACGACCATTGGCTCTGTGCTAATCAAACTGTATTCGGAGTTTATCGGATAAATCCGAGTTGACCAAAATTTTACCGGCGGGTGTTTTTCGGAGTTTTTAGGATTTATCCGGAAACACTGCGCTTTAATAGTAGCACACCAATCAGGCTGATGTTATGAACGAAAATCGTTAACAGACAATAAAAACTGTTGTTCCTAAAATTAAAACACCAATTTAAAGGCTACTGTAATGATGCCAATAACAGAACTGTAGCAATGGTTTATTCTTATTCAGAAAATTAGGTTTAGACAGGTGACAAACACCTGCGTCCTCTCTCACCACAATCTGCCATTTTCAGCTGGAGGCGAACAATACTAACAATAGATGCTCGCAGCAATTTGAATGGAAGACAAAGACTGCATGCATATAGAACGTTAACTAAAAAAAAAAGGCTAAAATATATACAAAACAAGACACATTTTCCTTGCACACAATTTCAAAGAGCAAGTCCTTTCTGGCACATGCTCACCTTGACTAGGTACGCCTCTTCCCACCCTGGAGGCCACATCGTTTTCTGTTGCGTCGGGTGCATCCCCGCTGCGCTTGTTGTGGCTGTGACCATGATGGTCCTCGTGATCGTGGCCCTCTCCATCGTCGCCAGACTGACCTCTGAAGGCGGCCCCGCTGTGGTCGTGGTGCGGGTGCTGGTTCACGAAGCCCGTTGCACCCTCTGGCCGGTGCAGGGAGAGGTCGTGGTCATGGAAAACGATCTGCGCCAGCCCGAGGTTCTCCAGCAGGTGCTCAAAGCCTTCGAAGCTCATGACTCCATTGTGGCCATACTTGTCAAAGATCTTGCGCAGGAAGTACTCGTGCTCGCGGTAGCGCTCGGGGGCTTCCTTGGCCTCCAGGCAGGGCACCGTGCTCAGTACGCAGAGGAAGACGTGGCACCAGAAACACATTGTCCTGTAACACTGAGAGAGGAAGGAAGAAACTTATTTTGTACATTCGCCGCTCCACGTCGGCAAGATGAACCTCTCCATAAAACAGCCTTGCCCAGTTTCCTGTGCCTACCAAAAAAATGTCACATTTTTTGCAAGACAAGTAGCTAAACTACGAGTGATGATACAGAAAAAAGAAATAAACGCAGTACAAGACTACATTCTTTCACTTCTTTTTTAGTCCAGCCTTGAGGCACTGGGTTAGGTCCAAGTCAAAAGAAATGACACTTACATGAGTGCTCCTATGACGCTTGGATTGTAGTGCCTTTAGCAGGCCATATTTTCTTGCCTGCACAGAAATAAGACACTCCTATACGGCGAGCAATGTTTCACAGTGTAATGAGCCCTGTCCATATGGCTGAGGCCATTCAAGTAGTAGGTCATTAGCAAAGAGATGTAGAATCAACAACAAGAAAGCAGGGAGGCACATAGGTACTCTTACCAGCACCGACGACAATGCATCCCAATGATTGGTCAACGCGTAACGCCACTCCTCCTGCCCACACCACATCGTGCATGTGTGGCACCCCAAGGTTTGTTTATAAACAGCAGCTGGCATATGTGCTAACATCGCCTTCCTATACCCAGAGCTGAAAGCATGCCAACTCTTTTCATCTGATGCCTCTATGCCAATATTGTTGCCAAAATGAGAACAATTCTTTTCCCCCTATCCAAATAAAAAAATATAAATTACTTCACATAAAAATATGCTTTAGTATTTCACAGAGCCATGAAAACAAAAACACTGAAGCATAAGTAAGCCCTAATTTTTGGAATAAATTAGGCTCAATCCTGGTAATTTAGCTGTCACACAGGGCCCTTGAATTCACTTAGTGAAAAAGATGCCGAAACCCCATAACAAGCCAGCAAAAATGCTGTTAACATAACAAGAAGGCAATTACAACCAATCTGAATGATGTCGAGCAGTGAAACCTCTTTTGCATAAATTACAAAGTCACTCCCTCAGTTTCTTACACTATTCACTGACGACTCAGAACAAAAGTTTAACCAGGAACGCACCGAAGCAGTGGAGGCATGGCTCTGTCGCCGCTGCTTGCAGAATCCCGATCGAATGCACGTCCAGCGGCATGAAGAGTTTGCTGTCCTATGTGAGGACTCCATGAATGTAGCTGCAGTAGGTTTTCTGCAAGACAGAGAAGGAAGCATTTCAGGTAACCATTCAGACCTTCAGACTATGCCACTGCAAAAGCAATTTGTTGCACATCATTTTTATTCAATATTAATTGTAGTGCCTTAGAGGCAATATTACGGGGCACAAAGCTTTTAATAGTGATGCGATTGGTCCAAGTTACGTTGGAGCACCTTTCGGAACAGCCAAAATCTATTTTGAAGCTATGAAAACAACTTTTAGAGTGCAAGCCTACACTTCGTTCTCTTTCCCTCTACAGTGAATAGCAAGTTATGCTGAGTCGTGTTGCCTAGCCAGCTAAAAAGGCAGCGCCTCCTTTGCCTCTCTATTTCTGTGCAACCACTTGTTAGCATCCATTGCACAGCAAATTTGATTTCCTCAGACACTCAACTAGATGTTTAGATAAGGATGGCTAGTTGCACTTAAAAGCATCAGACATGAAATCAAGGTGCTCACTAATGAAGGACATAGCATTAACACCTTTGGTTGGCTTTCCATTAAAATAATGATAGAAGAGAATAATCTCGAGCACCAAAATGGCTTCTTTTTAAGTTCTAAAAGGTTTTAATAAAACTATGTAAACCTTAATTCAGACTAAACAAAAACACATAGCTTTTGCCACTTAGTATTATAAACATCATAGCTTTTGCCACTAAGTATTATAAACATCAATGGCTTTTTGTATGTAAAGATTCATCTAATGTAAAATCAACACGTATGTGTGCAATAAATACCTTCAAAAAATCCCAGCTCAACTTTTGTATGTTTTAGAGCGCAGCTCTTAGGCGCCCGTTCCCGGCTTGAGCAGCGTCGCCGTCGGCGTCGGCGTAACCGCGAGTAACCCTCGTAACCCTCGTGAGGGTTACGAGGGTTACAAGGATTACTCTCACGAGGGTTACCCTCGTAACCCTCACGAGGGTTACGAGAGTTATGAGAGTTACCCTCACGAGGGTCACGAGAGTTACCCTCACGAGGGTCACGAGAGTTACCCTCACGAGGGTCACGAGAGTTACCCTCACGAGGGTCACGTGAGTTACCCTCACGAGGGTCACGAGAGTTACCCTCACGAGGGTCACGAGAGTTACCCTCACGAGGGTCACGAGAGTTACCCTCACGAGGGTCACGAGAGTTACCCTCACGAGGGTTACTAGCGTTACCCTCACGAGAGTCACGACGGTTACCCTCACGAGAGTCACGACGGTTACCCAGGTCACGTGACCCCCCCCCAGGTCACGTGACCCCCGTTGACGTCATCACCACTGATGACGTCATCAGTGACGTCACGGATGACGTCACTGGCATCTGCATCGTCGTCATCACTGATGACGTCACCAGTGACGTCATCAGGGACGTCACTGATGACGTCATCAGCATTGTCACGTGACCCCCCCGCCACCCGAGGTCACTTGACCCACCCCCCCAGTGCCCTTCCCTCCTCCTCCTCAAGAGCTGCGCTCTAATTCTGCGTTACAGGGAGTTGTAGACGGCTTTCATTTTTTTTTGCAGTCTACCATTCCACTGCTCAAACCAATTTAATTTGAATATACTTTACTGATTGTGCCCACAAACAGTGGGAGGTCCGGATATAACTAAATAAAGAATTTGCCATAAAAATAAATGTATAGGATGTGTTCCAAAATAGTGGAAGGTCTGAACAAATATGGTAACTAAAAAAAAAAAAGTCCATTAAATCTCAAATATGAATTAAAAAAAAGACTAATTATGCACACAACACATCAGGATAAGCTCCATATTATTAGTTGCAGTCTTTTTTTATCTCAAGTGCAAGGTAGAGTTGTCACACCAGCATTCACAAATTTCAGTCAATTTTTTTTTTTTTCTCAAATACCCGACGCTCTATGAGTGAGCGCCGTCCCGCTATCAAGGAGTGCGTTTTCCCTCTAGACGCGGGTGCGCTGCGGCGAAGCGACATACACATGCACAACCACAATGTCTACGCCGCGGCTATTGCTTCACTACAGCGCACCAGTGCGCTGCAGTGAAGCGCTTTCGACGGAGCTATCTGAACCGCCCTAACGGACAACGAATTTCCAAATCCTCCCCCCCCCCCCCCCCCCCCTCATCGGAAAGAGGGCAAGCTACACCCGCAAAGACCATCACTCTTTCCACTTTAGCATATCATAGGCTGAAGAGAGATCAGAGAGGCTTGTGGGAAGGGTTTGTTCTGCTATTCTAAACCTGCATATCCGGGCCACCAAATCAATAGCCCCATAAAGCTGACAACCTTGTACCGCTGCCCACATTACAAGGCAACCGGGAGCAGGCCTAGGGTTATTCAAAACGAGATTAGTGAGAGAAAATCACCGCTTGGGTAACTATAGTCACACATGTATGGTAAGAGGGATGCCAGGTATATTACGAACAAGTAAAATCTGACAGGGAGTCGTGCAGGAAGAGATGTCACTCGGGCAACTGGCGAATCTGCCCGTGATCCGTACACTGCCCGTTCCACCCAGTATGCGGCCAAGCGCTGACAAAGGCAAAACTGTACGCTCACGCGTTTTTGTTTGCACCGCAGACACGTGTGAAATATAAAAGGGGTGTCCGAGTGGAAGGGATAAAAAGTTGCTTCCGCGTTCAAGATTATCGTAATATGTCTCACGTCCCGAGCGCGTTTCCGCCAAGTGCAGGAAAACCGTCTCGTGTGACCGCCTGGTTTTGTGGTGTACGTACTACACTGGGCAGCGTTTGGAATTCTGCCACCGCGCGGCACGAAATCGCGAGAATAAACAAAACGCCGTGACCGGATACAATCGGAACAGCAAAACGCAGCCAACCAACCAACAAAGAACAGAAACAGACGGCCAATTTCGAAGAGGAGCAAGCTGTCCACAACCACGGGGCAAGCGCTACACGTCGCATAGAGCAAACCGACTTCCACATGGGTGATGTCGGCCCAGCTCCGCAAAGCAGAAGTTGAAAGGAGCGCTCTGCAAAAAAAACTACATTTTTGTTCCATCTCCAGCGTTCCTCACGAGCACTGCCACCAGACGCTTACCTGAATGGAAGCGCCCGAGGAGTTCGACGGAGTGGCGTGCGATTAGAATGTTGATAAGAACCGACTGACGCAGTTCCGTGTATACCTCTCACTTCGGCCAATCCAAAGAGGCAGACGTGACAATCGCGGCAGCATAGACAAAAGCAGCCGCCGCGGAAAGCTGCAGTGTGCCAGGTGTGCCACTATCCAGTGCTAGCTAGCGTTCGAGAAGCAACAGCTGCTCCAACGCACGTGGGATATAGGAGGGCGCCACTGGGAAAAGAACGCGTGCGTTTCTTTGGGCATGAGTACTGTTCTGTGCTGCGCTCCTTTGTGCGCGCGAGTACGACGGCGGAAACAGTACCGCAAGCCAAGTCGCGTCAGTCCTCCCCATTTTTAGTGAGCGGGATATTTGACGAAGCTTCTTTAACAAGTTTTCGTCGTGTGCAAAAAAAAAAAAAAAAAAAAAAAATCAATAGCCCAGTTTCGTCCGGTCAATTCTTTCTAAACAGGGTCGAGTTTCGTGCCGCGAAATTCGATCCCTTCAGGCTCACACGCACGCGATTTCCAGAGCGCTAAAATCAAACTCTTGAATTAATGAAAAAAAAAAAAAAAGTCAGGGTCATTAAACATGTTACGCAGATGAACAAAATGTACGTTGAACAAAGTCCAGATGTCCAAACCTCAATTTTAAGCAAAAGCGCAGAATCTTTACAAAAATAATGGTAGTTGTGGTGCAAGTACTACAGTAGAGCTAGACAGCTCCAATTCTGACAAAATATATAATTAACTGGTCAAATAATTAATGTTTGTGCCAACGAACAGCCAAAATACATGGCGTTCCCCACAAAGGGGAACCGCGTTTTTCGTGCCGGCCCCCGCGGGTAAAAAACCATGCATGGCAAAAAGCTCGAACTCGGTGAGAATGCGACGCTAGCAGTTGGAATAGGACGTGGAGGTTCGAGAATATGACGTTACCTGCATCAAAGAATAATTAAGAAAGACGAAATTTCTATATAAGCCGATATCCACCTAAGCCTAACCTTCAAAACGAGAACTGACATTTGTAGACGTATATGGGATTTATATCAATGAAAAATACTTGTCAGCATATAAAATAATATTGTTTTTTTTCTTCTTCTTACTGACAATTTATTGTTTCGACGATTCACGTTCTATCCCAACTGCTAGCGTCACATACTCACCGGGAGTTCGAGCTTTCTGCGACGCATAGTTTATTTGCCCGGGTCGAAAATCACGGTTCTCTTTTCTCGTGAACGCCCAGTTTACACATGAGCACGCCGATGGGGGCGACCATTTATCAAGATTAGATCGGAGGATGAAAGGCATTTTTTGTTTGTATCAGCGGCGGACATGGATCTTTTACATTCGCAAAGATCTGCAAGAACGGACGGACAGGCACACACACACACACGCAAAGACTCTGTCACCTATAGTGTATTCACGACACAACGTACGTTTCTGCAGATATATTCGTATGTGTTTCGAGATAACGAAACATTCCGCAGAATGAAAACATTGGTACTGCGGAGACGATAGCATGGCGCACGCGTTCTCGAGAGGACCTTAGCGTCATACAGTGTGCGTGGAAATTAAACGATAAACGCCTAGCTCTTTTGTCACGGAAACCTTTGGGTCTGATTCATCCCTCCAACGACTAAAGGTCCCCGCTCCTTGAAGGATACCTTTAGCTTACACCTGCTGTGGAAGCCGCTCGACAACATAAGGTACAGGTGTCTTTCCTTTTTCTTCTTTTTTTTTCACATGTCGACCTTCTTGGGTATTATCGTACCCTTCACGTCCTGAGGTGCTTGAACGTTCAGCTTACCCCAGGCATACAATTAGACGCCCTAATTAGTATGGTTAAAATATCACGTCCCCGAACAAAAAAAAAAAGTGTGTGTGTATGTTGGTGTGCGCTAAGTCCAGTAACTTTAATGTGCGCTATAGGGTTTGAATCTGGACACTTGGCGAG